GAATGCAGATACCACAACTCTGCTGCATGATGCTCTTGCTGATTCTCCCACTCTGTGTAAAGCTGGCTAGAGATGGGTAGAATTTCAATTGAAATTTTTTCAGGAGAAGGTTCTAAGGAGAAAATTTGAAGGAGCAAGATGGAAAACTTTTTTCAAACAAAAAATTTCAAAGGAAAGCCACAGATTTTGCAGTTTTCTTTCTAGCAACCACAAGTTTCAGGAAAGAAAATCACTTGATTTCCCCATTAACACAGTCAGTGTTGATGGGGGAAATCTCTCCTGCAGTGCAATGCAAAAAATCTACTGGCTGTATTGAAGGTGATCGAGGGATTAACTTCAGTACAACCAGCTTGCCCATATCGAACCGGTCCCTGCCGAACCATCCAAGATTTTATCCATCTATGGCCAGCTTAACAATGTATGTGGTTTTCACTTTATAAAGGGCATTCATTCCAAAATTAAATGTTTAAAGCAAATTTAAATCTTTCAAATGACATTTTAATATTCTGAGAATTTTTCCTAAGAGTTTTTTTGTTGAAAAGTCTATTTATGGCCAGCTTAACCATTTTAGCAGTGTTTGCAATTGATGGGGTAAGTGGCAGTTGCAGTATCAATTTACGAAACCACAAGAGTAGTTATGTATGTATTTATTTTGGCATTTACATGTTAAAGTAGAACTATAGGCAACAACTTTTTTTTTTTTCATTTTCGATAGAGTACGCAAGGTTTTTTTTTTTTTTTTTCTTCACCATATGTGTTCTATTGCAGAGGTTTCCTTTCACTTCCTGTCCCATAGCCAAACTGGAAGTGAGAGGAGGATATCCCTACTAATGAAGGGAATTTCTTGGGGACCCCCAGGCTATCAGGACCCCTTTGTCCCCATTGGAAAACTTCCCCCCTATTACTTTTCTGGGAACAGCCCAAAATGTGGGACTTTCTTTTACTTTCAATGATAATGGTAAACAGGACAAATAGGATAAATCTTTGTAATGGGCACAGACAGCAATAAAAACTGACAGGCGTTCTAGTCCCTTTCCACCCTATCCAAAAAACTTTTTGAGTTATACTTTAAACTCCAGCTAAACACATATACACTATATTGCCAGAAGTATTGGGACACCTGCCTTTACACGCACATGAACTTTAATCTCAGTCCGTAGGGTTCAATATTTAGTTGGTTCACCCTTTTCAGCTATACCAGCTTCAACTCTTCTGGGAAGGCTGCCCACAAGGTTTAGGAGTGTGTCTATGGGAATGTTTGACCATTCTTCCAGAAGCGCATTTGTGAGGTCTGGCCTGGCTCGCACTCTCCACTCTAATTTATCCCTAAGGTGTTCTGTTGAGTTGAGGTCAGGACTCTGTGCAGCCCAGTCATATTTCTCCACCCCAAACTCTGCTCATCTATGTCTTTATGGACCTTTGCTTTGTGCACTGGTGCGCAGTCATGTTGGAACAAGAAGGGGCCATCCTCAAATGGTTCCCACAAAGTTGGGAGCATGAAATTGTCCAAAATGTCTTGGTATGCTGACGCCTTAAGAGTTCCCTTCACTGGAACTAAGGGGCCAATCCCAACCCCTGAAAATCAACCCCATACCATAATCCCCCCTCCACCAAACTTTGCACTTGATACAATGCAGCAGGCAAGTACCGTTCTCCTGGCAACCACCAAACCCAGAAACATCCATCAGATTGCCAGACAGAGAAGCTTGATTGGTCACTCCAGAGAACACATCTCCACTGCTCTAGGGTCCAGTAGCGGCATGCTTTACACCACGGCATCCGACGCTTTGCATTGCACTTGGTGATGTAAGGCTTGGATGCAGTTGCTCAGCCATGGAAACCCATTCTATGAAGCTCTCTATGCACTGTTGTGCTAATCTGAAAGCCACACGAAGTTTGGAGGTCTTTAGCTGTTGACTCTGCAGGCAGTCGGTGACTTTTGCGCACTGTGCTTCAGCATGCCCTGACCCCACTCTGTCATTTTATGTGGCTGTTGCTGTTGTTCCCAGTTGCTTCCACTTTGTTATAATACCACCAACAGTTGACCATGGAATATTTAGTAGCAAGGAAATTTCACGGATGGACTTATTGCACAGGTGGCAACCTATCACGGTACCATGCTTGAATTCACTGAGCTCCTGAGAGCGACCCATTCTTTCACAAAAGTTTGTAGAAGCAGTCTGCATGCCTAGGGGCTTGATTTTATACACCAGTGGTCATGGAGGTGATTGGAACACCTGAATGATTCGGAGGGGTGTCTCAATACTTTTGGCAATATAGTGTATGCTGGAGAAAGAAAAGTGGGCTTTAATGCCCAACCGCCGTACATAGGTATCCATGGTGGCGTGAGGTTGAGGATGCATTCACTGACCAAAATGTCATCAGCAGCTCTCTGTCAAGGATTCTGATCGGGAGCCAGCAGGATGGGCTTCCGATCACATGACTGCCAGTCATGATACAGAAGCTTGGCATTAAAACACACTTAAAAGGCTGTCAGAAGGTGGCATTAACCTCCCTAGCTGTATGATTATGTCAGTATTTCTGTGATCAAAGCGGTACATTGTTTTCAATGGAAATATGATGTTTTTTTTTTATTGAAGGCCTGTAATTCTTAGGAATAACTCACTGAAATCTGTTTAAACAAGTGTCTAGTAGACATCCTGGGTGCAATAAAGTTTAATACATTAAATCATAAATTATAATTATAAAAATAATATAATAAAATTAAATAATGTAATCAAATCAAACACACGGAACTCTGTCCAAACAATATTATATAGACACTGCATTTTGTTCTAGAAAATATCACGAGTGTGGTATATTTTGAAACACGGGACTGCACAAAGTCCGGCATCGCAATCATGAAAGTGGAACCTTGTTTCTTTGCAGATTTGTTTTCCACTCTCATCTTGTCAAGAGCAACATACCATGCACATCCCTGTAGGTGCTGCCTTTTTATGGGTTGGTGGGATGTAGTCCATAAAGTGATGTCCAGTCAGGCATTCTGGGTTGACAACTCCCACAGCACGTCATCCAGATCTACCTACAGACATTGATGGTGTTTGAGGAAGATGGATTCCGCAACTTTCCAGATAAAGTCCGCATGAACCACGGGTTTGTCACTGTTTTTGCAGAACAGAATAGGCATTCTACAAGCACTGTTCCAGAAGATGCCGGAAAATCTTTTTGTAGTATTTCCTCTGCTGCTTTCTCATTTCCGGATATAATGTCATAGCTTGGTCAGCCCTGTCGACACCTCCATTGGTGCTATTGTAGTCAATAACTACCTGCGGCTTCGGAATGTTTTTCCTACCTTTTGATTTTACCATCACTGTGGAGGCATTGTGAATGGTACTCATTAGGCACACATCCTTCTTGTCCGACATCTCAGTGCCATCATTTTGCCTTTCTGCCAGGTAACTATTTCTCCAGGCTTCAGTTTACTTTTTCCAAACATTGATGGCAGGTTGCACCGGTTAGCCCTAACAGTTCCAAAGGCATCCATTTTGTGCTGCAGAGGAACCTTGTAAAGTTCTGGAGAGGTGTAGAAATTGTCAGTTGTTACACAGTAGCCTTGGTTTAGCAGAGGCTCAATTAGTGACAGGACGGATAGTGTTGCCATTTCCTATTTGCTGTACTTGGGATCAAATTGTGTTCCTTTTGCCAGTGTAAATAATTGTGTTCCAGATGTAGCCAGTAGAGGATTCGCACAGCAGGTCCCAAGGGTGTATGCAGTGGATACCTTTGTAGTGCCGTGGGATTAGTATGCGGTAATCTTTGACTTTCCTCTGCTGACTCTACTACCTCGTCTGCTTCGAAGGATTGAGATAGAAGTCATTCCAGTCATTGTCCTAGCTCTGGATTGGCCTTGCAGAATGTGGTGCACCAACTTCATTTGTCTGTTAGCTGACACTCCATGGCCCGATCTTTTATCTGAAGGCCCTATCATCCACACTGGTTCTCAGATGCTGGCTTTGATGGCTTAGCTGTTGAAACCAAGCTTTTGACTTCATATTCAGTGATCTTGACCATGGTTAAAACTCTTAAATCTAGCAAAATTGATAAATCTGCAAGATTTATCATTGGGGATGGAAGGCCTACTTTTGCTGGTGTGAGACTTTGGGGATTTCTCCATGTGACTGTTCAGTGGGCCATGTTTTGTCTGTCCTTTTGCTGGGGGTAGAATAATGTTTAGCCCTTAACACCATCAAGGATCATGAGTCTGCCTTTTTATATTATTTTTCTCTGCCTACTAAGTCACTAATTTGTACTGTCAGTCAGGAGGTTACACAGGTTGCTTACCCTGTTCGCTCCCTACTCCAACTGTGTGTGCTCCTTCCTTGCTGGCTGTGATTCACAACAGTGGGAGCCAATAGCTGTATCTCAACCAATGAGGAGGCAGAGAACCAAGAACCTCTCCTCTTGTTCACATTGCTGGATTGAGATAGAAACTTTCTGACTTTAGAGCCACTTTAATGCATTCCGTGCATTAAGGTAAAAATGTTTAGGCACCGGTATTCCTCCTTACCTCCCCTTTTACTTACCTGAGCCCTCATTCGATCCAGCGCTCCGCCCGTCTGTAGCTCTGCTGCCTATTAAAGCCAGTGACAAGGGAGCAGGGGCTGGGGCTGAGTCCTGCTGTCCGTGTCTATAGACTTAGACTGTGATGCTTGGGAGCAAGCCTGCATGAGTGCCCCCATAGAGAGTGAATTTTTATGGGGGCACTCATCGGAGAGGGGGGGACCTGAGAAGAGGAGGCTCAGAGTCAATATGTGCAATTCCACTGCACAGATCAAGTAAGTATAAAGCTGTTTATTATTTAAAAAAAACATGCATTTACAGTCGCTTTAAGACCTCAACTGTGAGCATCTTTTTAATTGTGTTAGCAATTAATTTGTTTTATATTTTCTGTCAATATTTTTTGGGAAGACATTTAATTAAGTTTTTTGTTTTTCTTTTTACAAAAGGTCTATTCAGACATAGTGATGCCTGCTGACATCATGGCTCCCAAAGACATCATGACAAACTCCCATGCCAAATCAATCTTAAATACTATGAACTCATTACGCAAGAGCCAAACACTGTGTGATGTGACTCTTCGTGTAAATATGAAGGATTTTCCTGCTCATCGCATTGTTCTTGCCGCTTGCAGTGACTATTTTTGTGCTATGTTTACTAGTGAGGTAAGCTGTCTCTTCTTAATGGACACAGTTACTACAACTGCAGTTTTTTTTTTTTTTTTTTTTTTGCAGCAACAAGCAAGTGTTTCTAGGGATTTATTGTTTCTGCAGAGAGAAACTTTTGTTAAACGGGTAAAGGAATTGGGCTAATATTTGTTGATACTGCTTTACTTAGAAAATAGTGGTTTCATATCTGAAGTTAATTTTTGTCTTGCTGTTGATGTGTCCAGTGAGAGAGTTTCTTAGTCCTGACCAAGGCTGATGCTGACTATAGTCTAGATTCCTTACCAGCAAAAGGCTATGAAGCCCACCTAACTCTAGCATGCAACTTTACCAGTGATTGGAAGCCATGCACATGTATTTAAATAAAAAAAGTATATAAAATAGTGCAGCGCTCAAACCGAAGTAAAATATAATATATCAGATGGCATATATATATAATTGAAAGTGACCCACACAGCCGTACCACTTATATAGATTAATGGGCTGGTGGTAACATAATCTCAAGCAACTTATTCATGCACTATAGTGACTATAAACATAATGCAGTAAATAGTGTCCATGTGCATAAAATTCCATGCAGGTGAAAACTGTAGGTGCCAATCCTCAAATAGGTGAAGTGCCCCCTCACCTTCCTGCCCAGGCCCCTAGGGACCAATGAGCCTTTTGATATATGGTGGGTCTTGGGTAGATCCTTCAGATGGTGGATCCCTCGGGAAGTAATGGTGGGACTCTCCTCCTCTTATCTCCTATATCAGAGCGTTGGTGGTATCGAAGGTACCCCTCCCACACGGTCATCAATAAGGAGAGAGAACTTGTATAGTGTAAAATCGCTTTATTATATGAGTGATAAAGCCAAAAATCCACTCACACATTCAATCGTAAAAACGAGCCTTCACACCACTCAAAGGGTGTACTGCATTCAGGAACTGGGAGCACCAAGATGGGGCCCGCGCTGGATATGACGTCAGAACGTTTGTGTAAGCTCCTCCCACTGGCGTATCTACGCGTTACGTCACTTCAAGCACGTGACTTCATCCCACAGCACGTCATTCAGATATCCTGATGAAGTCACGTGATTGAAGTGACGTAACGCGTAGATACGCCAGTGGGAGGAGCTTACACGAACGTTCTGACGTCATATCCGGCGTGGGCCCCATCTTGGTGCTCCCATTTCCTGAATGCAGTACACCCTTTGAGTGGTGTGAAGGCTCGTTTTTACGATTGAATGTGTGAGTAGATTTTTGGCTTTATCACTCATATAATAAAGCGATTTTACACTATACAAGTTCTCTCTCCTTATTGATGACCGTGTGGGAGGGGTACCTTCGATACCACCAACGCTCTGATATAGGAGATAAGAGGAGGAGAGTCCCACCATTACTTCCCGAGGGATCCACCATCTGAAGGATCTACCCAAGACCCACCATATATCAAAAGGCTCATTGGTCCCTAGGGGCCTGGGCAGGAAGGTGAGGGGGCACTTCACCTATTTTGAGGATTGGCACCTACAATTTTCACCTGCATGGAATTTTATGCACATGGACACTATTTACTGCATTATGTTTATAGTCACTATAGTGCATGAATAAGTTGCTTGAGATTATGTTACCACCAGCCCATTAATCTATATAAGTGGTACGGCTGTGTGGGTCACTTTCAATTATATATATATATATATATATATATATATATATATATATATATATATATATATATATATATATATATATATATATATATAGCCATCTGATATATTATATTTTACTTCGGTTTGAGCGCTGCACTATTTTATACTTTTATTTTTCTTGACTACTGCTGGTGTTGTGATTGTGACATCGTTAGTGCTGGCTGCTGAATAGTACCATTATATGTAGTGGCGCAGGAGATAATTTTATATTCCTTTGATTACATGTATTTAAATACTTTGCATGGAGATTCTCCAACAAGTCATACAATTTCTGAGTGTGACTACGCTCATTATCGGCACTAGGGAAGATCAGTGGGGCTCAATAAATGCATCTGGCTATAATGTCAGAGTGTGATTGGGCCAATTCTCCAACAAGTTATACAATTTCTGTGGGTGATCATGCTCGTTATTGGTGCCAGGGAAGATCTGTGAGGCCTAATAAATGCATCTGGCTGTAATATCTGTATGGAAGTGGGCCAGTTCTCTAAATAATGGCACTAGGGAAGATCTGTATGGCCCAAATAAATACATTCAGCTTTTATACGGAAGCTAACAAGTTGTACAATTTCCGTGGGTGACTGCGCTCCTTGTTGGCTCTAGGGAAGATTGGGGGTTCTAATAAGTTCATCTGGATGTAATATCATTATGGTATTGGGCCACATATGTCCACCCTGAACCTGGTCTGCATCTGCAATTGAGCAGATATTACATGGCCATAAAAGATTCCAGTAGCTCTTATGTTGGCCAAATTATTTACAGCAATGGTCTAAAATTTTGCTTTCTCTGCTGACTGAATGAAGGTCATTAAGATTATTGAACCCCCAGATGCTTCTCAGATTTATGGATGTATTTTGTTTTTGACTGTTTTGGTCAATTTTAGGGCCTGTCACTTTAAAGTGCATTCACTTGAATGTGTTTTGTGGCAGGTGGACCACAGTAAAAATTCATGTTTGCTGCATTTTTTGTTGCCGATTCTAGCAAAATACAAATTTCATAGGAATGAAAATCAAGGCAGGAAAAATGCACAAAAGACACAAAGGTGTCAACACAGTCTCATAGTTGGTATGTTTTGCAGAATACTTTAAGTTTTTAAAGTGGCTTTCTTTTGCCCTACTGACCTGCAGCTGTCTGAAAAAGGAAAACCATATGTTGATATCCAGGGACTGACTTCATCTACCATGGAAATCCTACTTGATTTTGTGTACACAGAGACTGTTCATGTAACAGTGGAAAATGTGCAGGAGCTTCTTCCGGCTGCATGTTTACTTCAGCTTAAAGGTGAGAATGCCTCAAACATTTCTGCACAAATATTGATTTGTATGTTAATTTCAGTACATTTTTATTCAGAAAATTTCATAAACTGTAGTAAATACTCAAATAACCAGAGATGGTGAAGCCATACAGTTTAAAATGTTTAGCCATCAGCTAGGTAGGGTAATATGCAAGGCAAGTACTATGACAAGTAAAACTATATTTACTTAGAAGGTGAATAAAAGTGATCATTAAATATATGGCTTCAAACATTTTTTTTTTTCCTAGATACAAATCTATTAGGCATTTATCAAAATTACACATGTACAACAGTACCGTAACACAATAAGGCACAATGGTCAGGAAGAATCATAAAATTGTCAATTAAAAACATCTTAAAGGCACAGATACAGTGGTTGAGTATAATAGCAGTAATTCTTTGAGGAGGTAAAGACATCTCCAAGACATACATGCTGCAATCATCAGTGATGTTAGATAATGCCAAAGCGAGCAAAATAAGTAGGGGAGAAAAATGTAGAGCGGAGAGAAAGCAAAAAATGAAGACATCCAGTTTAGATGTCACAAAGGGGAAGCATAAATGCTATAATATCGTAAACAATAATAGAGGGGGTACCAGGGACATTGAGAGTATACTTGTACTTAAATGAGGGGAGTATGGTTGAATTAATCAACCTTTTATATAGTCAGTCCCTGGGTGTCACTCCAATTTGCCCAGTTTTTGTTGAACTTTTTCAGACAGTTGCAACTAGCATATGTGTGTTTATACAGAGAAATGGTTCCATACAGTAAGGTCTTCCAGCCTCCTGAGGTGGGCATTGTGGAAGAGTTGCAATGTAGAAGGATCTCCTTCCTTGCATAAAATGCAGTATAGAATATAAACAGTTTGTTTTTTATAGTGGGACCTGTCAACATTATCCACAATACCCAGCTGAAAAATGAGAGGGTCCAAGGGCAGTGCAAGTTTCCGTACTTAATTAATAGTTTGGGTTACCTCAAGCCAGTATTGTTGCATTCAGGGATAGTCCCACACTATGTGAACGAAGGTGCCAATTTCCACTCCACACCAATGGCATTTTAATAACCCTTATTGGATATGTCTTAGAGAGCCTGAGGGTAGTGTAATAAGAGCGGTGTAAGAATTTAAGCTGTAAAAATCCATCCTTAGCCAATAATGCGTAAGACAGATAGTGTTGTGGATATTTGTGCCAGTCCTTATCAGTTAATGAAGTGGCATCCACCTGTCGGTGTTGGTAGAGTGCAGTCAGTTTAGGGTTATCTTTACAGAGCAATGAAGAAAGCTGAGAGAGACATGGTCAGGTCCTTGGTGGATAGCAAACTTTCTATATAGTCGAAAACCACTTGTATTCTTTTAGGGAACTAATGTGGTGTAATTCTGTATCTAGCCCACAACTGGGGATCTTATAAATCACATAGATGTGACAAAGTGGGATTGCCCCAAAGGAGAGCATATGGAGAGAAGGAAATCTCTCTATAAAAACATGTTCTAGCCTGCCTCCAAACTGTTAGAATAGATTGCATAGGTACCGTAATGGCCAAATTGGATTGGAGACGTATAAAAGGTTAAGTTACTACTAAGTTCAGAATAGGATCCTAAAAGACCAGCCAAAAGGGTGATTGCAACATAATCGCGTGGTTGAGAAAACCACCAGCATGCGGTAAGAAGAACTGCTGTCCAGTAATATACTAAAAAGATTGTTAGGGCAAGACCACCACCTTTTAGGAGAAACTGTTTTTTTGCCAATTGAGGGGTTCTCCCATTCCAAATGAATGAGGAGAGAATACGGTCTATTTTCCAGAAAAACAATTTAGTGATGTTACAGGCATTTGCTGAAAAAAAAAAAAAGTGTGTATATTAAGACCATCTTTATAAGATTCACACACCGTGCTGGGCCAAGCAGGAGAGAAACTGTGTTATATTTTTTATAAGTTGACCCAATATTGGCTCAAGATTATCTTTGGAGTAGGAAAAGAGGTCAGTACGAACCTCAATTTCAGTATATATAAATTAGTTACCCATCGCAGAGGAATGGAGTCAGGAGAGGAGGATCAACAGAGTAAGTGTATATAGGAAGTAAAGGAGTCAATCGTCATTGCAGATTGTAAAAAGGGACCTGAAGTGTATCATCTGCATACGTGAAAAAAAATTTTCTCCAGTGCTCAGAGTGGGAATCCCCTGATGGAAGTCGTCGCTCCCTGATGCGGAATGCCAGTGGTTCTAGTACAACAGTGAAAAAGTCTGGGAAGAGCAGGCAGCCTTGTCTTGTACTCCTCCTTGGTAGAAATGGGGGTGTAAGAGTGGCATTAGTGTGTACTTGGGTTTCAGATTCAGAGTATAGTTTTTGGAGCCATGAAATAAAGTTGGGCCCAAACCCGTACTTGTGTAGGTTCTCCCAGAGATAGGGCCGTTTTACGGAATCAACAGTCTTTTCCGCATCGAAGGACACAACCACACCAGGGTCCTCTCTTGAGTTAGACATTGAGATAAGCATAAAAGGTCGTTGGAGATTATTGTTGATCCCTTTTCCCAGCAAAAGGCCAGTCTGATCTTCGAGCATGCTTGGAAATAACTACAGTCAACCTCTGTGCCAACACCTTGGTGAGAATCTTAGCATCCGTATTTAGAAGACAAAAAAAATGGTAGAAGGTACACAAGATTGGATTCTTACCTGGCTTAGGAATTACAACAATCACTGTATCTAGCATAGATGGCGGCCATGTTTCATCTTGAAGAGCATGTCTAAGTTTTATGAAGGTGAGGTGACAGTTGGCTTCAAGCATTTCACATTGCAGAAATACCCAGTTACCTAGTACTTACCCTTCAGGGACAGATACCCAGGGGGTTCAGTATTAGCAATAAAAAAGAAAGAGAAGGAAAAATGGGATGGTATGTCTTTTGCCTGAAGATTAACGTTTTAACAAAACCAACTCCATTGAACAGCATTTTGCAAAAGTGTCAAAGTTTGCAATACTGTATGTTTCATCTCTTGGATACTCTTTTCACCTAATAGTTCCTCTGCTGTCATGCTGCTTATGGAGTTTTCCAAACAGGCAATGTTGGTTGACATAGCACTCAGGCTGTCAATGGCCATTTTAGTCATGGAAAGTGCCAGGACCTCCTGAATATTCCTTGTCCACGCACAATAGCAATACTTGGAATTCAGATAAACCATGTTAACTACTGCTTCTTGGGGGAATATAAAGCATAATTTAAAGTTTGTATTAGACCTGGTGGTCTGGCCATTAATACACTGTAGATGGACTTGACTAACAAATTGAAGCTGAACTCCAGCTAGTGCTTTATAAACAGTTATGACGAACAGTTTTTATGATACGTTTTACATAAATTAATAAAACCTGATCATTGTAAGCACCCCTGTATATGGTGTGTCTCTACCATCTCACTTCTACTTTGCCTGGACAGCTTGGTCTGTTAAAGTAAGTTGAAAGTTAACAGACTTGGTTGCTGGATCGCTAGGTGAAAATAAGGGGGGGGGGGGGGGGAGGAAACTAATGCAGCCACTAAATCTAACAATTGGTAAGCTGCATTTTTAAATCTGATTTTTATATAGAAATTATTTTTTATCTTTAACCACCAAGAGACAAACTGCCTCATAGAACAGTTATAGACAAAAAGGAAAAAAAAAGACCATCATCACAACAAAGTAGAAAAGTGAAAGGCATTGTTTCACAATGAACAGGTTCTCTTTCAAAGTTTCCATTCATTATCAAATCTGCTTTGCTACTGCCCTGATAGAAAACTGTGTTCCCATTGAAATAAAATATGACTAGCCAATAACCGGTCAACTTATCCTGTACATGTTTTTGTTTATTTTGAATAAGCATTTTGTTTTCTTGCCTCTCTCTTCCTAGGTGTGAAACAGGCATGTTGTGACTTTCTGGAATCTCAGCTTGACCCTTCCAATTGCTTGGGAATCCGTGACTTTGCAGAGACTCATAATTGTTTAGACTTGATGCAGGCGGCTGAAGTTTACAGTCAGAAGCACTTTCCAGAAGTGGTGCAACATGAGGAGTTTATGCTGTTGCAGCAGGAAGAGGTGGAAAAACTTATTCGATGTGATGAGATTCAGGTACAAGATAGTATATTGGGTACCCTGTTTGATCTCTCCTTAAAGAGGCTTTCCACTTTCACAGAGAAGAAAGTCTACACATGCCCTCCCATCCTGTTGGTTGGAACGGATGTCTCTTAACTGCTTCCCCGCAGCCCTATAGCAGAAATACTGCTACAGGGCGGCAGGGCTGCGCCAAATTTTCATTTCTGGGTAGGGGGGCTCACACTGCCCCACCTGCGCCGCATTTGGTGGCTACAGATATTGATCGCCAGGTCCCAGCCGGAGATTCCCTGCTGGCACCTGGCGATTGCCGAGAAACACCGGTTTCTCTCCTGCCAGCAGTAACATGCTGCTGTGTATTTCTCTGCACAGCAGAGAAATACACAGCAGCATGTTTCCCTAGTAAAACACACACAGCCCACACAGTAAAACAGGACACAGTTAACCCTTTGATCACCCCAGATGTTAACCCCTTGCTGCCCTATGTCATTAGTACAGTGTCAGTGCTTTTGATTAGCACTGATCACGGTATTAGTTTTATTGGGATGTCCGTGTCAGTTAGTCAGAATGCCCGCCGCAGTCCCGCTATAAAGGTTTTTGTTTTTTTTCCAAAATTGTCAATCTTTTTTTTTTTATAGTGCAAAAAAATAAAAAATTGCATAGGTGATCAAATACTAAAAATCGTCGGTCTTTTTTTGTGTATAGCTCAAAAAAAAATGCACAGGTGATCAAATACCACCGAAAGAAAGCTCAATTTGTGGGGAAAAAATTACGTAAATTTCATTTATGTACAGTGTTGCATGACCGCGCAATTGTCAGTTAAAGTAACGCAGCACCATATTGCAAAAATTGGCCTGCTCAGGAAGGGGGGTAAATCGTCTGGAGGGGAAGTGGTTGAAACCCAACTAATCAGCAGTAATAGTAGTTCTGCAAAGCTGTTTTAACCAGTTCAATACCGGGCAATTTTACACCTTCCTGCCCAGGCCATTTTTCAGGTTTCAGCGCTCTCACAATTTGAATGACAATTGCGCGGTCATACAACATTGTACTCAAACTAAAATTTTATCATTTTCTTCACACAACTAGAGCTTTCTTTTGGTGGTATTTAATCACCACTGGGGTTTTTATTTTTTGCTAAATTAACAAAAAAAGACCGAAAATTTTGAAAAAAAAAACACGTTTTTCTTTGTTTCTGTTATAAACGTTTACAAATAAATTGTTCTTCATAAATTTAGGCCAAGATGTATTCTGCTACATGTCTTTGGTGAAAATAATCCAAATCAGAATGTATTATTTAGTTTGTAGGAAAGTTATAGAGTTCACAAACTATGGTATAGATCTGAAAATTGATCAATCCTGAAGTACTGACAGCCAATCTAATTTCTTGAGGTCCAGGAATGTCAGAACAGTACAGATATCCCCCAAATGACCCCTTTTTGCAGAGTAGACAGTCCGACGTACTTCATAAGAGGCATGGCGAGTTTTTTGAAGTTGTATTTTTTTTGTCATTTTTCGGAAAATGAAAAAGTTATTTTCACTATTTTTTTTTTTACATATTGTCACCAGTGCAGTACAGCGTCATCATATAAGTGGTATGGCGGTGAACAGGGACACTGACTGGTGACAGTATGGGGGAAAAAAAAAAAAAAAATATATATATATATATATATATATATATATATATATATATATTTATTATTTTTTTCTTTTTTTTACGTTTTTTTTTTTCATATTTTACTATGACCAAAGTAGTACAATGTTACCATAGTAACATTGTACTACTTTGGGGAAGTGATCAGTTTTTTTTTTTTTTTTTTTTTTTTTTTTTTTTTTTTTTTTTTTTACACAATTTGCTTATAGCAAAGAATTACTTTGCTATAAGTAAGCATTTACCTGAATGACATCGATTCATTCAGGTTTCTTTTTTGTGCTTAGCTGTGATTTGGCCACAGCTAATCACATGACATGTGCATGTGACCTGCTGTGACCATTCACAGCTAGACACTAGTATACAATGGATGGCATGAATGAAGCCATCCATTGTATACAACTGTCATGTGACCTGCTGTGATTGGTCACAGCAGGTCACATGGTACCGGTAACAGGGGCCGGTAATCAGATCTGTCATCGGCCTTGTCCGAGGTACACGGCCGGTGACAGATCGTGCGGCTCTGCAACCGCGCGAACTGCGCATCTGCGGGAGGACACCAAATGGCGTACACCCCGGAAAGGTAATGCATTTCTGCGGCCGCCAAACGGCTATAGGCCGGGCGGCAAATGGTTAAGCAGCAGTGTTCAGCCTGTTTTAGGTTTCCAAAGGCTTCCTGTGTTGAGCAGGAATAGGCTAATATTTTATACTAGTAACATGAGGTTCCAAGGGATACTAAATTAAAACTGCTCATAAGTGCTGGTAAACAGCTGATCAGCAGCAGGGTGCAAAAGTACGGGCTTTAACACTTGCTCTTGTTTATAAAGTAATATTACTATTGTTATTGCTTGTAATACAGGTAGATTCAGAAGAACCAGTTTTTGAGGCCGTTCTAAATTGGGTGAAGCACAACAAACAGCACAGGGAGAAATCACTATCACAGCTTCTTCAGTATGTGCGCATGCCTCTGCTAACACCACGCTATATCACAGATGTCATAGACACAGAGGTACATGAGAAAACTTCTTCAGTAGCTGGATTAAAGTAGCTGGATTCCGGATTATTTTATGTAAACATTATATGTTTTTCTCTGCAGCCTTTGATCAAATGTAGTCTGCAGTGTCGAGATTTGGTAGATGAAGCCAAGAAATTTCACCTCCGTCCAGAGTTAAGAAGTCAGATGCAGGGTCCTAGAACTCGCATGCGTTTGGGTAAGTTATACATTACAAGTGATAACTTTTTTTTTTTTATCCGTAAGTATGCCAAAGGAGCAACTAAAAAGTCTGCTGCATTCACCAAGACTACTTAACAATTTAACATCTAACCCCTTCAAGATTTATATAAACAATGTTTTTATGAATTGATTGGTTGCTTCTAGGGGAGAGCTAGCTGTATTTGTAGATTAATATTACTGTTCTTAAATTGATTTATGCTACTAGAAATTGTAGAGATATCCCCCTTTTTTTGAAGCAGATTATATTGGAATATTTTTTTCTTCTGAAAGTCATAGTAACCTTTTAAAATAGTTTTCACTTAAAGAATTACCTTTCTGAAAAAATAAATGCACATTTTTTTTCACAAAAAATGCGCATTTAATATTTGTTTATATTTTTAGGAGCCTATAAAGCATTGGCCCCGCGATCAGCAGATCACATGTGCAATGCAAGGCTCCTGCAGACTGTCAGTTTATATGTCTACTTGTACTTCGAATGGGCAGGAAATTACACAATGACAGGAAGTTCAATGACAGGTGCTCACCAGCACCTTGGTAATTCATTGAGAACTACAAGCCATCAGCCGCAAAGGCTGTCAGTACTTGTAGTTCATTCATTCACAGGAAACTGCATAAAAGATGCAGCCATGTGGGCTGTCACAATTAGCAGGGGGATCGGTGGCGGGGAGGCTGCAGGAGCGGCAACATATTAACATGTTCTACCCAAAAAACACGTGGAACATGTAACATGTTCTCAAAGGTGAACTTATCCTTTAATTGTCAGATGATTCCATACAGTTTTTAAGCACATACTCAAGGAGTTTCTCCTTTTACAATTACTTAGCCTAACATTTTCCAAATTACAGGATATTAGCTTTTAGGTATTATAACAGTAATATGTAAAACCCCTGAGGGCTGCCATACTTTTGCTTTAACCGCTTCTCGACCACCCCCCACAATGTACCGCAGCAGCTACAGGCAAAGCGACGTTGCTCTGGCTGTAATAACACGGGGGGGGGGCGCTGCGCACTCGAACGGACGTGCAGCTCTTCCCCCATCCCCCCCATGACTGCTGTGTCACAGTGGAATGAAGATCCCGGTGAATGGGACCTGATGATCATGTCATTGCTATGCGATCACATGATCACAATGTAAGCAAAGCTGTTATCAATCAATCTCATTCATAACAGCTCTGCTTCTCCTAATGAACTGTGATTGTCCCACAGCTGTCACATGATACATGGGGCCAATCACAGCACCCTATACCATGTGGCCAAAAAGTTCAACCTTGGTTTCATCAGACCATAACACATTTTCCTACATGCTTTTGGGAGACTTCAGATGTGTTTTTGCAAAATTTAGCTGGGCTATGATGTTTTTCTTCATAAGAAAAGGCTTCTGTCTTGCCACTCTACCCCATAGCCCAGACATATGAAGAATACGGGAGATTGTTGTCACATGGACCACACAGCCAGTACTTGCCAGATATTCCTGCAGCTCCTTTAATGTTGCTGTAGGCCTCTTGGCAGCCTCTCAAACCAGTTTTCTTCTTGTCTTTTCATCAATTTTGGAGGGCCATCCAGTTCTTCGCAATGTCACTGTTGCGCCATATTTTCTCCACTCAATGACTCTTCACTGTGGTCCATGGTATATCTAATACCTTGTAAATTCTTTTGTACCCTTCTGCTGACTGATACCTTTTAATAATGAGATCCCGCTGATGCTTTGGAAACTCTCTACCGACCATGGCTTTTGCTGTAGGATGCGACTAAGAAATGTCAGGAAGACCTACTAGAACAGCTGAATTTTATTTGGGGTTAATAAGACGCACTTTAAATGATGGCAGGTGTGTACTGACTCCTATTTAACATGAATTTGAGTGTGATAGCTTAATTCTGAACACAGCTACATCCCCAGTTATAAACACATGTGCCCACTTATGCAACCACATTATTTTAGTTTTTTATGTTCACCCCTCCAAAAAAAAAAAAAGTTTGTTTTTTTAAATTGAGTTGTACAGTTTATAGGTCACATTAAAAAGGTGGAAAAAGTTCTGAAATGATTTATATTTACATCACGGAAACCTGACATTTTAACAGGGGTGTGTAGGCTTTTTATATCCATTGTACATAAATTCCAATACAAATACCATAGTTTGTAGAGACTATAACTTTCACACAAACCAATTAATATACATGTATTGAGATTTTTTTTTTTTTTTACCAAAGACATGTAGCAGAATACATTTTGGCCTACATTTGTGACTAACTTTGAGTTTATTGTTTATTTGTTATAACCAAAAGTGAAAAATATAATTTTTTTTCAAAATTTTCAGTCTTTTTTTTGTTTACAGTGGAAAAAAGTAAAACCGCAGAGGTGATCAAATACCACCAAAACAAAGCTCTATTTGTGTGAAAAAAAGGACATAAACTTTGTTTTGGTACAGCATTGCATGACCGCGCATTTACCAGTTGAAATAATGCAGTGCCGAACAGCAAAAAATTGCCTGGTCTTGAAGGGGGTTAAATCCTCTGGAGGGCAAGTGGTTAAAAAAAACAAAGCACTCTACCAGCTATGGAGACTCTGAAGACAGTGGAGTGCAAGTAAAAAGTAATGGTAGATATTTTAAAGCAAACAAAAAGCCATGAGGAGAACTTGGTCATGTGCTTGTCAGCCATGTGACCAAATGTCTTCCAATCTTAGACATCTCTCCGCTTAGTAAAACGAGCTTCATGGGGCTCCTTCGACTACACACTGCGGCCCAAGTTTTAAGAATAGGTGGATTACTTGGCTTTATTATATTTTTCCCCATTTATTTTCAGTAAAGTAATGCACAAGCTAGAGGAGGCTTTACAGTGGGGAAAATAATTACTTGATCCCACTTTGCCCACTTACAAAGAAACAAAGGGTCTATAATTTTTATCCTAGGTATATTTTAAATGGTAGAGACAGAATATCTACCAAAAATCCAGAAAAAACACATGATACAAATGTTAGAAATTGAGTTGCAGTTCAATGAGTAAAAAAAGTATTTGATCCCCAAGCAAAACATGACTTAGTACTTGGCGGAGAAACTCTTGCTGGCAAGCACAAAGGTAAGACATTTCTTGTAGTTGGTTACGAGGTTTGTACACATCTCAGGAGGGATTTTGGTCCACTCTTCTTTACAGATCTTCTCTAAATCCTTAAGGTTTCTTGGCTGTTGCTTGGCAACTCGGAAGTTTCAACTCCCTCCTTGAATTTTCTATAGGATTGAGGTGTGGAGACTGCCTAGGCCACTCCAAAATCTTAATGTGCTTCTTCTTGAGCCACTCCTTTGTTGCCTTGGTGGTATGTTTTGGGTCATTGTCATGCTGAAAGACCCATCCTCGACCCACCTTCAGTGTACTGGCTGAGGGAAGAAGGTTCTCAGCCAAGACTTTACAATACATGGCCCAGTCGATTGGCCCCTCAATGCGGGAAAGTTGGCCTGTACCTTTAGCAGAGAAACTGCCCCAAAGCATAATGTTTCCACCTGCATGCTTGACTGTAGGGATGGTGTTCTTAGGGTCATAGTCAGCATTTTTCTTCCTCCAAACACGCCGAGTCGTGTTATTGCCAAAGAGCTCAATTGTGATCTCATCTGACCACAGCACTTTCTCCCAATCGTTCTCTGATTCATTTAGATGTTTATTAGCAAACTTCGGACAGGCCTGTTCATGTGCCTTCCTGAGGAGGGGGACCTTTTGGGCGCTGCAGGATTTCAGTCCATGGGGGTGTATTGTGTTACCAATGTTTTTTTGGTGACTGTGGTCCCAACTGCCTTGAGATCATTCACAAGCTCCTCCCGTGTAGTTCTGGGCCGATGCCTCACTTTTCTCATGATCATCCTTGCCTAATGAGGCAAAATCTTGCATAGAGCCCCAGACCGAGGGCGATTGATGGTTCTTTTGTATTTCTTCCATTTGCGAATAATCGCTTCAACAGCTGTCTCCTTCTCACCAAGCTTCTTGCTGATCGTCTTGTAGCCCATTCCAGCCTTGTGCAATTCTACAATCTTGTCCCTGATGAATTAAATAGCATTTTTGGTTCATGGTGCTCAGATGGTGTGTAGTTCTGCTTTAAGACAAATCTGTCAAGTAATTTCCTGCAAAATAAAGTAAGAGTAAAAAATATATATATGTTACATACACCACAAGATTCCCACTGTTAGCTTTTTTATTAGTCAGAAAGCCATGATCTGTATCTAGATTTATTTTGTTACTAGGGAGCTCTACCAATCTCTCTGATCACTGAAGTGCCCTTAATGGCTGTGGAGACACTCTCATTGGACAGAGGGATGGTACTGTAGGTGGCAGTGCTTAGCCTTAAAATCTAAAGTTTTTTAATTTAAAGTTTCCCAATAGTTACCGTATTTTTTCGCTCCAAACAAAATGGGGAAAAAAACGTCTGTGCGTCTTATGGAGCGAATATGGGGCAGCCGGCCCGGTATTCCTCCCGTCACCGCCACCGTGTTAGAATACCGGGCCGGCCGCTCGGCGGCTCTACTGTGCAGAAGAACCCGCTCCTCCATCCTACCTGTCCCTCGGTCCAGCAGTGTCCTGCTTCCATCGGCCGTCTTCTCTCCCTGGCGCCGGCATCTTCATTGTGGACACCTGGCTGTCACAGCTTGTGGCTTCACAGCCGGGTGCCCACTGCGCATGCGCGAAAAGCGCTGTGCTTTGTGAATGGCCTCATAGTCTTGTGGGACCTGTCAAGTGTCCCACAAGACTACTGGGGGGGACAACTCCGCGGAACTGTCAAATTTCGGGTACACCCCCCCCCCCCAAACGTCTGCAGTCTCTGGTCACCTCCTGTACTGTGTCCGCAGTCTCTGGTCACCTCCTGTACTGTGTCCGCAGTCTCTGGTCACCTCCTGTACTGTGTCCGCAGTCTCTGGTCATCTCCTGTACTGTGTCCGCAGTCTCTGGTCATCTCCTGTACTGTGTCCGCAGTCTCTGGTCATCTCCTGTACTGTGTCCGCAGTCTCTGGTCATCTCCTGTACTGTGTCCGCAGTCTCTGGTCATCTCCTGTACTGTGTCCGCAGTCTCTGGTCATCTCCTGTACTGTGTCCGCAGTCTCTGGTCATCTCCTGTACTGTGTCCGCAGTCTCTGGTCATCTCCTGTACTGTGTCCGCAGTCTCTGGTCATCTCCTGTACTGTGTCCGCAGTCTCTGGTCATCTCCTGTACTGTGTCCGCAGTCTCTGGTCATCTCCTGTACTGTGTCCGCAGTCTCTGGTCATCTCCTGTACTGTGTCCGCAGTCTCTGGTCATCTCCTGTACTGTGTCTGCAGTCCATTGGTTCAGAATTTTTTTTCTTCTTGTTTTCCTCCTCTAAAATCTAGGTGTGTCTTTATGGTCAGGTGTGTCTTATGGAGCGAAAAATATATGTTAATGTTTTCTAGGTTTGCAAGCAATTTTAGGCACATTAGGAAAGGAAGAACATAAAGGTTTTACCTGTAATCAAGTGGGACAATTTGAAAATAAAAATGACTTGTTCGCTATCTCCAATGGATGGTTTGAATTCAAGAGCACCAGAGCTTATTTTATGCTGAAAGTTTTATGAGGATAGCCTTTTATACGTGCCTTTCTGCGTTTTATATTTTTAATTTGATATTACTGAGTACATCGACCTATGTATGATAACAAACTGTCACTTTTGTATATTTTTTTTTAAGGTGCGAACGAGGTTCTTCTTGTCATTGGTGGGTTTGGCAGCCAGCAATCTCCAATAGATGTAGTGGAGAAATATGATCCCAAAACCCAGGAGTGGAGTTTCCTTCCAGTGAGTTTTCTCTGGAGATTTGAAATATTACAACATAATTTTAGTGACTGTGTAGACATTGAAGTTAACTAATGTACCGTATGTTTTAAACATGAGTAGTGTCCAGGACTTCTATGATGAGATGTAGATGCGGGACACATGCATTGCCACAGTTTTGGTCTCACTGTCAAATTCCCATTGTCATTCAGCCCTTCCCCTGCAGCGTCCATCATTCAGGCCCCATCAATACTATATTATAGAGAGATAGATTTGTGGAGCTGTCATTTTACCTTTTTTAAATGTTTTTCCTGATTGGACTGCCCTAATTGCCTAGAAAATGTTTATACATAATAACAGTGCGGCTGCAGTGTTTGCCCTATGTTATTAGAGAGAACTGTATTGCAGGAAGTAATGAGATTAGATAATGTTATTCATTTATGAGCAGTAGTTCCTGCGTTTCTGGTTGCTTCGTCTGACTGGATTGCAGGTTGACTCGCTCTTTGGATCCCTATGTCTTAAAAGTTCATCTGTGTTTATGCTATAGATTTTAAAGTATTTACAGCTGAGCTTTAAAACAAGCAATCAACTTAAAGAAAAAAAAAATACATCTCTGCAATATATGAACATTTCTAAATGTTTTATCTCTTTTGAACATTTAGCAAGTGTAGAAAAGTAACTGCTGACATGCCAGAATATACAGCAGTGAACTCCTACCTTCCTTTTTTGTCCTGACCACACTATAGTTTTTGCCCTGCATTCCAAAGAACGTGTTGTCGTCCTACTTCATTACTGATAAATTGCAAAGTACACAGACAGTGCTTCTGCTATGAACTGTATTATGGTGTTTGCAGAAACAGTAAGTGCTTGTTTTTAAAGCTCATATACTGCCTGATAAGAATATATGAATACTTGAATAGCTTGACCACAGGATGTCCAGTGGTAAAATGTCAGCACTTGAATTTCTGACTCAAATACATTTTAACTTTTGATAAATATTAAGTCTCTAACTTTTTTGTAATAATGTGATTTATGATATTACAGCAACAAAATTTGAATCACTCTTTATTAACTTCCTATATACAGAGTATCACACGTAAGCGGAGATATGTTGCCACAGTATCTCTTGGGGACCGAGTCTATGTAATAGGAGGTTATGATGGGCGTTCCCGACTCAGTTCTGTAGAGTGTCTGGATTACACGTCTGAAGAAGATGGTGTTTGGTACTCTGTGGCTCCAATGAATGTAAGAAGAGGGCTAGCAGGAGCAACCACTTTAGGAGGTTTGCAATTGATTTTTGCTCTCCTATACCTAGACAAATTCAAACATTTATCTTGTCCAATAGACCTTTACTCTACACAGTGAGTTTTATTTATCAAATCAAAAAATCTAAAGCAAACTTGGTGTGGCCGGCTCAACGTGCACAATAATCAGACATTCTTGCAGTATTGGGTGACCAAAACTTTAAATTGTAATTTCAGGTTTACCAAAAAGCACACCTATAGCTGCAGCAGCATATTGAACTAAACCTACTTATCAGCCAGGGCTCCCTTTATGTTTAAAAAATGTAGTACAAAATCCAATTTAAAGAAGTCTCTTTACTAATCTCTGCAGTCTGTGATGGTTCCATCCTTGGTTACTCTAGGAAGGATGAGCTGTGAAGACCAATGCTCCCTAGTGCCATGGGAGCGAGAATTGTCCTGTTCTTTTGAGCTGCACATTTGCGGTGTGTACTTTCACTTGACTCCTATGATAAGCTCAACAGGAGCAATACACACTGCTCACATGTGCCCAAAAATATTATTATTATTATACAGAATTTATATAGTGCCAGCGGTTTGCGCAGCGCTTTACAAAAATGAGTGTAGACATTACAGTTACAGTACAATTTGGTACAAGAGGAAACAGAGGGCCCTGCTTGTTAGAGCTTACAATTTAGGAGAAAGAACAGGACGGCACTTCCTCCCACGGCACTATGGGTTTCTGGTACCAGTGGTTGCCCTGTCCTTCCAAAAGCTCAGGGCAGAGCCGTCACAGGCTGCACAAGTTTTTAAGAAGCTTATTTTAAATGCAACTTTGGACTGCATTGCTAAAACAGAGGGGGAACTCTGGCTGGTAGGTAGGTTTTTAGCACATTATGCTGCTATAGCCATGAAAGAGCATAATGTGCTTTTTGATAAAGCTGAACTTGCACTATAAAGAAGTCCATTGTCCCTAGGCACTTGATTTAGTTGCCCGCCCGGGAAATTTTGGCTGTGATATGACACAAAATAATACAAGGAGCTACTTATGGTAACGGTAGTGATAAATGTGAGGTTGAGGCTTAAAGGTACCCAGTCATCAAAACAAAATTATTTACAAAAAAAAAAAAGATTCCTGGAAAAAAAAGAGCATTAATACTTTCATGGTCATCACCTGTGCCTTGCTTCTTGAAATCTTGCAGAGCAAGGGCACTGGCAGGGATCTGCAGCAGCCAAAAGACTTCTGCTGCACTTTTGCAAGAAGGCAAGGATCTAAGGCACAGGTGATAGGACAGATAATTATTGAAACTCTTCATTTGTATAGGCCTTCTTTAAGTTTTTCCGTTTTTGTGAGAGGGTTGCTTTTCTAAGCAATATGTTTTTTCCTGAATAACTATTTTGAATGTATTCATTTATTTATTTTATATACATTAATGGGGCCATATTTGCTTTTTTCCAAGACATGATATATGTCTCGGGTGGATTTGATGGAAGCCGCCGACACACAAGTATGGAGCGCTATGACCCTAACATTGACCAGTGGAGCATGCTGGGTGACATGCAAACAGCACGTGAAGGGGCAGGACTTGTTGTGGCCAATGGAGTTATTTATTGCCTTGGTGAGGGACACTATCAATTAATGTCATTCTACATTATGCATAGCAATGTTTTCTAACAAACTTTAGTTACCGGTTTTTGTTTTTTGTGGCTTTTAGGAGGTTATGATGGCCTAAACATTTTAAGCTCAGTAGAACGATATGACCCACATACGGGCCACTGGAGCCACGTGACACCTATGGCAACCAAGCGCTCAGGTAATCAGACCTAACAGTTTCAATTGTCGCCATAATTTGTATATATTGCTTTGCTGTGGAGCTTACAGTTTTCTCTTATGACCCCAGGTGCTGGTGTGGCACTGCTAAATGATCACATATATGTGGTGGGAGGCTTTGATGGCACATCTCATCTATCTTCTGTAGAAGCCTATAATATTCGTACTGACTCTTGGACTACGATGACTAGCATGACTACTCCTCGCTGTTATGTTGGAGCCACTGTACTTCGTGGGGAGACTTTATGCCATTGCAGGGTGTGTATTTTTAAGAACATTCCGTTCATTTTTCGGCCTAAATCCGTACAAAAGCCCCCTTTTTCTTAAATAATGTTTTCAAATTGTATGGGCGTATACAGAATTGTAAACAAAAATGGTCACTTGGAATCATATGAAGCAAAAATGTGCAAAACATTTAATGGATCATCAATATATAATTGAGTAATATCCTTTTTCTGATATTTACTGTAATAGAGATTTTCTAGTACTCTGAGTGGGATGGTGTAGACTTTGAATTGTCTATGCATGTACTCAAGCTGTTTTTCATGATTCCATAAAGTAGTATGGACAGCATATTTAATAACATTTACTTTTTTTTTTCTTTGCTCTTTGTTTTTCAGCTATGATGGAAATTCTCTACTGAACAGTGTTGAATGCTATGACCCTGTTATTGACAGTTGGGATGTAGTTACATCTATGGCAACCCAAAGGTGTGATGCTGGAGTCTGTGTACTTCGGGAGAAGTGAGAGCAAAAACTGTGAAGTTGGGCTTAGTAGACTTGGAACTGTGCTGCTGCTGCTGCCTGCATTCTACAGGAAAATGTGAAAACTGACTCTTCACTGTAACGATATGCCTTTCCACTGCCAGGCCTTACAGAAACTTTTACTGGCAAAAGATGCTATACATTAGGAAGGAGATGCCTTGCCAATGTGCCACAAAGACCACATGAGCTTTAATCTGCAGCCATAAGGATGTCCAGCGGGCTTTCCGTTGATTTGGATGCCAAGAATGATGCAGTGTGGGGAGTAAAGAGTCCAGTATACAAACTCTCAAAGTGTTGGTACCATCTTTAAATACAATGTTCTCTGAATATTATAGACCTTTTGGTGTGGGGGTGATGGAGCTATGTATAAATCTGTCACTAGCTGCCATATGGCTTCAGAAGAACTCTACTCTTGGAGAGGAATGCTACATTTCAGGAATATTTGGGATATCTAATTTCGTTGATGCTTTGTGTTGTAAAGTGAACAAAATGCTGAAAGTCAAAGTTGACTAAACTGCCTGTAGCATCCTTCTTGAAGTGTATTCTAATCAAATTGTTTTTCAGTTTGGATATAGTGGTAATGGATTAAAACCCCTGATGAGTTTTTATGCTTTTTGGGACTTTATTGGAGAGATTTTTCCATTCCCATATTGTCCCAATGGAAATGGGTTTCACCAGACAGGAGGTGAGGGAAAGTCTTTGAAAACTACTCGGACAGAAAAAACAATTGCTTTTTTATCAGTGGTGTAGATGACTAAAAACCCTGTCAGCATTTATTTCTGTCTGTCCCTGTTTCATTTTTTCCCTAATTTCCTGACTGGTGAAACTGTTGTTGCCATGAGTGTAATTAAAAGAAATCTATTCATTGGAGCCCTGGGTCACATGGTCTTTAATCCTTCTCCACTCTTTCCAAACCTTAAAAGTCCTACAGTCTACTTTTAATATAACCGAAAAAAAGCATGAATGATTTTTCATTAAGTCAAGAAATGAGGTTACTGTATGTAAACTTTGTAACATTATTTAAAATTACCTGTGTCCACTTTCTAAAGAATTGAAGCAAAAGTGCTGCTTTAAAGTATATGTAAAGCCAAAATTTTTCTTTTTCTTTGTAACACTGGAAGGGTTAGAACTCGGTGGGGAGCTTCACCCTTACTATTGGTCATAGTAATTGGAAATCCAACATTTTTTCAGTTGTCATCATCAAAACTGGAATGGAGGGGAAATCTTTCAAAGGGTAAAAACCTGTTCTGGTGACAGCTGTCTAAGTAGGGGCAAGGCCCCTTTCACATGTGCGATCCAATCAGGTCTGCCTGTCAGTGAAGGGAAATCTCACTGATAGAACATAGACAAAACCCTATATGCAGACTCCATAGGAGACAATACAGTATCATTGTTACTGTCATTGTGAGAGACAATGTTTTGCACCTTCTCTTTTTTTTTTTTTTTTTTCTTAAAGTGGACTTTCCATAGAAAAATGGAAGGTCTGCTCTATCGAAAGCCCCCCAAAATTAGATTGCCCACAAAAGCATTTTAAAAATAGAACTGTTAAAGAAAAAAAAATTACCCCCACTCTGGCTTCAACTTCTCAGTTCCTAAAAATGCTGGTAAGGTCTCCACACCTCACCTCTGCTTTTGGGATAGTTGGCTGCTTGAAATCCTGTGAGAATGCGTCTCTGCAATGGACTGAAGTGTATTCTATCAAGCGTTCAAGCCCCTAACCATCTCAAGAGATTTGGTTGAGCCACTGTGACTCCACCTGTGTTAAAACCAGGGTCAAAGTATTTTTTTATTTTTTCCTTAACAACCACCTTTTTAGGCAATCTGATTTTGGTGGGGTCAGGGCGTTGGTTTTTTTTTTTTTATATTGCTCACACCACACGATTGGGTAGTAAACATATGTTAATTTTTTGATAGAAGCCGTTTAGCTTGCAAAGCATATGCTATTACTTTAGTAAATCAACCCTATTGTGTTGCAGCCTGGTGGGGTTAAATCGGACATTATCTTTTTCATAACACAAGGCTGTTCCCTGCAAACTCATTAAATGAGAAGGTGTTGCAGAAGTTGCTCACAATGGTTTGGAACCTATAGAAAAGTTCTTCTTAAGCCCTGGTTCACACTAATGCAGTGTGGCACATTGGATTTGATTCGCAGAGGAACAGAACCGCATTCCTGTGCAAATCACATGCGATTTCTGTGCGGTTTGCGATTTGATCCATGCATTTTATATGGCTCAAATCATATCCACACCAAAAAGGTCCTGGACCCTTTTTTCCCGCAACTTATTCTGAATTCTGGTAATCGCACTGCGTTTTGCGATCTGTTTCAGGGTGTTGTTAATTTAACATTGACCAAATTGTACCAAATCACATGGACGCTGTGCAATTGCAATGCGGTGCATGAAATGCACAGGATTTGCTGCACTTCCCACACACCGCATTACTGTAACCAGGGCTTAGTTGCAAATACTGAAAGAGCAAAAGATCCGATCTAGGTGAGTGCAGAATCTGCATAACCCCTCCACAGACATGCAGGTGCTAGCCCGATCCGTGATCACAGACGCAATGGAAAAACAGAATGGTTGGCCGCACAGCAATGTGGTGGATGAAATCCTTTATTGGAATTTTTTACATGCAATAAAAGAACATGACAGGACAGAGGAGCAGTAGACGTGTTTCACATGAACACGTGCTTAGTCATTACTCATGACTAAGCACATTTTTGGTGAAACGCATCTACTGCTCCTCTGTCCTGTCTTGGAGCTGTCATGTTCTTATATTCCATGTAAAGGATTCCAATAAAGGATTTCATCCACCACATTGCTGTTTGTGCGGCAAACCATTCTGTTTTTCCATTGCATCTTAGTTGCAAATGTATCTGGCCAGTCTAATGGCAAGGTGAGGTTGCGTAATGAATTAACTTCCCCAGTTTGCCACACAGAGAGTCATAGTAAAGGTCCAATTCCAGATAAAGGTTGAATCCTATAAAAGAAATAAATTAATTTGTGAGTCCACAGCTTGGTTTATAGTCAGAATAATAATGGGCATGAGTGCAACACGTAAGTGACTGTTTTTGTCTTAAATGAAAATACTGTTTTTAATAAAATTCTGGAACTGTGTCCTTGTTATGGTATGTCCATTGAGTACAGAGTTTACGATCTTGACTCTTGAATTGGCAAAAATATGTAGGCTGCCATTGTGGACCTCCTTATGAAAATGATGCATAGTCGTTGAAGTCAAAACTTATTAGTGATAACTAATTTAGAATGGTGTGTTTTATTTAATTGTTCACACACTAACATTCCTTGAATGACAAATTCAGAACGGTATAATTTATTTAATTGTAAGTGTCATCAGTTATGTTACTTGCATTCTAAAATGATCTTGTCCATTTGAACTGTGATAAATAAACTCCAATAATATAGCCACATAAAGACACTGTTCACTAAGGATGGTTTCATGAATACAACAACACAGTGTTACATTATCCTGTCATTTTGCCCATATGCATAACTCTATACAGTGTATGATACAATGCCATCTTCTATGCAGCCACCATGCTTTACTGAGAACATGTACTATATAATTACAAGTAGTAAAGTAAAAGTATTTGTGTGCTCTTTAAAATCACCCCTACTCAGCGCTTCACTACTATTTCCAAGATTAAACAACAAATATTAAATCACACCACAATGCTGCAATATATACACTAAAAATATCATAAATGGTGACTCAATTCTACCTACTATACAGCGCTGTGTAAATATACACAAAATTAATCCCAATATAATTAAATGATATATCAGTCTGCGAAAAAGACTAATACACATAAGACAACATAAATAAATCTTCAATGGGATACAGTAAGTAAAAACTAAATATAACATGCTCCAGTGCCATATACTGTGTAAACATTGAGCCACCAACAGTTCATTAGTAAAGTTAAAATTTATTAAAACGTCTCATGCACAGATCCACTCTTTGCATGTTCACTACCCTGCCTTTTTTTATGGATTGGCATGTAAAGTGCAAAAGACTCTGAACAGCATTAAATCCTCCTTGGCAGGCTCTCAATCCCCTTCACTCGTTCTCCTCATCCAGGTTATATATGAAAGAAGGATGCATCCCAATAGTGTAATAACATTTAAAATGCAAATCTTTTATCAAAACAAGGCACTATTCACAAAGGAATATAAACTTGTCAATAATTACCTCCGAGTCTTCTCTAATGCAGCCAAAGCTGAGCATGCCCACCACTAAGCCACACCCCCAACATGTTTCATCCACAATATGCAATATTTTTTATTTGCTCCAGATTTTTCCACAAAAGTTGAGTTACCATATAAACCTTTGCATAGCTAACCCTTGATTTCAGATAGAGGAAAATTCAAGGCAAGGTAATATATAGAAATTTAATAATACTATCTCCTACTAACTAGTTCATGTGGGAAAGAGGAAGGAAGTAAGGTAATTAATAACCTCTATATAATAAGTGTGTGTGTGGGTGGGGGGGGGGGGAATTAGACAAAGTACAAAAGACAAGAATGAAGTCTGTCTAAAAAAACAGCAGGGTAATGGAGTAAAATTGCCTATGATAGAAAATAATCCCGCTGGGCAAAGTAGAGGAGCGAAGGAATGTAATCCTAAAATTAAGCATAAAGAAATTATCTGTTTTTGAACAAAATGAGGAAGAGTACCTGGAAGAAGTGAACACCTTTTTGAGTAGACCTCTCACTGACAGATGAAGTGTTAAGAAAGTAAGTTCCGGACATTATGGAAATAGTGTGGACACCAAGGGAAAACCTCAAAGGGGGTCCAGTCGAGGAAGTAGGTCACCCTAACTAGTTAAAGTGGTTGAAAATGCAGAAAGATTTTTTTTATACCCTAACTGCATTCTATACAGTAAGGTAAAAATATTTTCTGCATGCAGCCCCCCTAAATACATACCCATGCTCAATCTCGATCCAGCGATGTGCATTTCAGCCA